TGAGGACGACGAGCATGCAGATGAGCTTCCCTGAGACGGTTTCTGACAGTTTGTGCAGAAATTCTTTGGTTATGCAAACCGATTGTTGCAGCAACTGTCGGGGTGGCTGGTCTCAGATGATCTTGGAGGTGAAGATGCTGGATGTGGAGGCCCTGGGCTGGTGTGGTTACACGTGGTCTGCGGTTGTGAGGCCGGTTGGATGTACTGCCAAATTCTCTGAAACGCCTTTGGAGACGGCTTATGGTAGAGAAATGAACATTCAATTCACGGGCAACAGCTCTGGTGGACATATGCTAATATTGTTTATAAATAACCCCTAATGAAATACCACAAGACAAAGTATAAATGTTCAAGAAATGTAGCAAATTTTTATAATCATATTTTAAAAATGGACAATCTATACAGATGGTTGGACAGTAAAAAAATAGGGTGATAAGGGCAGAGTGGAAGAGTTGAGAGGATGGAGTATGGAAATGAAACAAAAGGCAAGTTTGGTGGGTTTACCATGGTAATACCTTGATACAGAATGATTACCACATTCATGTTATGGCATTCCAAGCCACTTTGAAGAATCGTACACTTGTTTTATGTCCAAAAAATGCCCCTGCTGAGACATAAAGCTGAGAGGAGTCTGTCAACAGCTCTTCCTCTGCTTCCTTCAGCTGTTTGTTAGTGCACATGTGGTTTTCAAAAACCAGCTGAACTTCAACTGAATTAATATGCGGTGAACCCAAAAAGTATGTGGACACAGTGTCACAATGTCTAAATGTCAATCAGTCATGATACAAAATGACAAAGATGCATCCGCAAACAAAGACTTTCTCAGAACTAACTTCCCTACTCCGTGCTTTATTTGTTAGCCTATGCCAGGGGTAGGCAAGTTCGGTCCTAGAGAGCCGCAGTCCCCAACTGCTATCAATGTGCTTTTAGTAGATGTGAGAAGACTGTTCTTGTCAAGTTCACACAAATATAGCAGTGAAACTACAGCACCATTCATCACATTAGTGTTTGACAGCCACAAAGAGTCAAAGTACTTTTTTGAGTTTGTTGTAAATAATATGTCTATTGTTTATTATTTAAACCCTAACAATTTCTTTTTTTTTTATGTTTTGTGTTAACGTATTTTAAATAAATGTCACTTTTTTGCTGTTGTTGTTTTCTCTGTATGACATGAAATCACAAAACTGGTGTAAGTTATTCTAAAAAAATATCAAATGTAACTAAATTTCTCCAGAATTTAACTTACAATTGACCGACTTTATTGACACAATGATAAATTGTTAACAAAATTAAACTAATGGGAACTGTGACTGCAGCTTCTGAACTTCACCATCATCTTCAGTATTAAAAATAAATGTGGCAGCACTATCAGCTTCCTGCTCAGCATTCACACATTTAGAAGAGCTTTTCAGATCCACTCTATTAAAAGTAACTTTTTTCTCCAGACCAAAAGTATCTTATACAGTCTAATCAGATCTTTGTGCACAAGAAAGAAGTGGCATATAAACCATTTCAGAAGAAGCTTGTCCAGAAGAACTAAAATAATAATAATAATAATAATAATAATTTAAAAGGTGTTTACTGGTTACATGTTATCTGCTATACTGGCTTAATTTACACACAACTATAAGCAAACCATTAGGCTACTGAATTACCAATAATGCCTTTTGAATTACATGTTATAAATGTGACATGTACTGTAACTTGCTGCTCAGCATTCACACATTAAGAAAAACTTTTCAAATCTTCTGTGAATAAAGGAACAGTTTTACTCCAGACCAAAATTCTGATACAGTCTAATAAGATCTTTGTGCAAAACAGAACACAGAGGCCCAAACAGAGCTCATCTGCATCATAAGCAGATAATTACATTTAGCAATTGGTTAAAAAAGTTTTTTGGTTAAAAAAAGAGAGAGAGAGAGAGAGAGAAGAGGTAATTAGGTAGTTAGTTGACATTTTAATGCCATGTCAGCAGCTGAGGTTAATTTGATAGCACCATTCACCTCAAGTCTGGTCTCTCCAGCTTAAGTGGGTATGTGTAATGCATATCCACTTAAAAAAATAAAGAGGTAATTAGGTAGTTAGTTGAGATTTTAATGCCATGTCAGCAGCTGAGGCTAATTTGGTAGCACCATTCACCTCAAGTCTGGTCTCTCCAGCTTAAGTGGGTATGTGTAATGCATATCCACTTAAAAAAATAATTTTTGCATTGTAATGCCATTAAAAAAACTACACTACAAATGCTACACACACATTTGTTTAATTATTTTTTAAAGTGTCAAAAGACTAAACCTACAAATCTTGCAGTAAAGCCATTTTCTCAACCAACTCCCTCTTCTATTTTAAAGACCAATTCACACTGCGCAGTCACCAAGATCATGAAACTTCTCAGACATTCCACGACCTGACAAACACCATTTGAGCATGTTCAACTAGTGAAAATGGGCTCTGACCAACTCCAACAGACACCGACGGGGGTAACACACTGATTCGACAACACCCGATGAACTGTCTGTTAACATTTGTCAATGTCTGTCTGTCTGTGCAATGTGAATTGGCCTTACAAAAACTTATACAAACAATCAAATGTAAATATGTACAAAAAATAAATGGTCCTGCTATAAGTAAACTAGCATTTAAAGTTAAAAAAAAAAAAGTTGCACAGACACCGGCAGTCACCAAGATCATGAAACTTCTCAGTCATTCCACGACCTGACAAACACCATTTGAGCATGTTCAACTAGTGAAAATGGGCTCTGACCAACTCCAACAGACGTCGACGGGGGTAACACACTGATTCGACAACACCCGATGAACTGTCTGTTAACATTTGTCAATGTCTGTCTGTCTGTGCAATGTGAATTGGCCTTACAAAAACTTATACAAACAATCAAATGTAAATATGTACAAAAAATAAATGGTCCTGCTATAAGTAAACTAGCATTTAAAGTTAAAAAAAAAAAAGTGATGAGAGAATTTAATACAAGCATACCAGAAATGAGAAAACAGTCTGCCCTGTGTAGTTACAGTTGCTGAATTAGTTACACAACATACAAATGATAACATATATTGCAACTTTCCATTTCTCAACATAAATCCTGTATTTTCTGTGATTGTTTTGGCAAATAGGGCTATATAGACTTTAAGGTTTACAGCTGTTCACACTAATGAAATATATATATAACATTACACCCTGATCTGAAGTTGATACAGTCTAATCAGATATGGATTAAATGCCATGTAAATATTATTAAAAATAAATTATTTAAAACAAAATCTTCTTAAAAAATAACAATAATAAAAGCATGGGTTACAGTGTGGTACATACACTCGAAGTAAATGGGACCAGTTTGTAAACATTAAAATACTCACTGTTTCAAGAGTATAGCCACAAAATGTAAAGAATATGCATTTTTGCATGATTTGAGTATTTTGTAAGATTTTATCCAATTATACAACTTTGTTGCAATGACAATGCAATGTAAGGGCAGGGCAATACTCCCTCCTCTCCAGCGACCAGTCACTCACATGAGATTAACAAAGGACAATGATTTAATTGGTTCCTGGTGGACAAAATCCCACCGTTTCACGCCAATGTGTGTCACAATGCCTCACTGTAACCTCCTTTTTTTTTTTTTTTTAAGAAAACAAGAGAGGAACTTGAAATATTCCTTAAATGGCTAAATTGTCTTTTGTCCACAGAAAAAATGCTATCGTATGACTATATACATAACTCAGAAGTTATATGGTGTTTTTACTTTTTTGGTTCTTTAGGAACTTGAAATATTCCTTAAATGGCTAAATTGTCTTTTGTCCACAGAAAAATGCTATCGTATGACTATATACATAACTCAGAAGTTATATGGTGTTTTTACTTTTTTGGTTCTTTTGGCTTCTGTTTCATGCTTGAAAGCTCCAGCTAATATTCATTGTAATTACATGACAAAACACTGATTGTGTGAGCAATTCTAGCTCAGATGGTGATATTTTCATATGTTGTGTCTTCTGATGGCTGGGAGAACACTGCTCCCATCTTTCTCTCCTGCTCTAGTATGGTTTGATTTTTCTCAGACTTCATTACAGCTGAGATGCCGCTGTTGAGCTGATCACCTCCTGTTGAGCTCTCTGCCTGTGATAGTCCACCAGGATAACATTGGACCACAACGTAGTCAGTTGTCAGCGAGGAGACGCCTCTGATCTCTTCTGACTCTGATTGGATGTTTGTGAAGTCAATGGAGGCATAATGGAGTTCTTTCTCAGCTCCAGTAGGAGACAGCATGGAATTATTGGCATAAACAGGGCTACTCTCATCCTCCTGTTGAACAGATGAAGAAATCAGCAGTGGAGAGCTGTGGTGTATTCTGCTTGTAAAACATTTATTTAACAGAACATTTTAAATGAACAGTGTACTTTGAGGGAACTCACCCTGTCAGTCAGAATCAGTCCAGTGCCACCGTCTCGTCTTGTGTTGCTTTCTCTTCTGAAAAATATATTTCCATGTGCCCATGATCAAAAAATATTGACATTAACATCAGCCATGTATGGATTTGAATTTTAACAAACAGGGTAAATGACTGGGGCAAAGAATTTTTAGAGTTGACATTATTTGCTTATTGTTTAAGTGAGGGTTTGGGAATATTTTTTGACCAAAGAGAACCCCCCCACGCCCACCCCTCCCTAAATTGTTCTAAGTTGTCTTGTATTGGTGACCTGTTTTAATATAGAACTTGGTCTATTTCTGTTAAAATAATTCAAAACTTTTTTAATTAACATTGGTAGGCCCCTGAGTAGTTCAATTGCTTAATTGCGTTGTTGACTTGTAGTGACCTTGGGCAATGTGAACATACCTTGCACAGATAAGTAAAATGCCACATATGATCATCATCAGAGAAGCCCCACCAGCAACTCCAACCAAAAAAAATAAATGGTGGAAACCTGATAATAATAATTAAAAAAAACAATAAAAAAACATGTTTTTGGAGAGCCACTAAAAGACATTTTCAGTTATATGAAATAAAAAGCATCTAATTCTAATAAAGCTATTGATTCCACTCCCTCCTACTCTCTAGAAGAATGATCTGAGTAGCAAGTTTGAATTGTGGTTAGTAACAAAACGGGTTTGTCTTGTAAGCAAAAGCACGTCTTTAAGCAAAAAAGAATGCTCTTTTACAGCTTTTCATACAGACATTTACATAAAAGTGTGTGATGTGTGAGGCATTTATCCTTTGCCCTTTCTCTAATGTAACAACTGGAAATGAACAACACCAACAGAACTGTTAAAATGTATAAATAATGGTATTTAAGATTATGCATCTGTAAATACATTAAACATTAAACCTTAAAAATCAATGTCTGTAAAACGTACCTGACACCTGAGGAGTGACATAAAACCATTGACTTGCAGTGCCATGAGTGTTGTTGCTGGCACACTGCAGAGTGGATGTGTGTGTGAGAGATTGATGAAGAGTGATGAAGCTCCTCAAGCCTGTGCTGCTCAATCGCTCTTCACTGATGAACGTGTTTGAAGAGTTAGTGACAGGACGTCCAGACAGATGCCACTCCAGTTCAGGAGAGGGATTCCCATCAGCCTCACAGAAACACACAGTTACATCAGTCCTGGTACAGCTGGAGGATGGAGAGATTTTAGGGGCATCTGAAAATATTAAAATAACAAAACAAAAAAAAAAACTGAATAACTACAATGATTCTGCTGCGGAACACAAAATAAGTTATTTTGAAAAATATTTCATCAACAGTCAGAAGAGTGCATTTGCAAAACAATCTAGCCTTACTGACTAGAATCCAGACTGGTCTGAAAGTCTGACGCTATGATATATACTGAAAAATCAATGTCCCTGCATTTAAATAAAACGTAAAAACAGCAATGTGGTAAGTTTAACTGGACAAATTAAAGGCCTTTTAATTATTATTTGGCCTTAAACTTAATAAAAATAAAAAATTTTATAGCTAGTAGCTATTACTGCATCGTAACACAATAACAGTGTCATAACTGTTCATTTTATAATTGACTTTAAATTTCTAATGAATGTGACAAGGTAAGATTGGCTGTTATGTAATACTCACACTGAATGTCCAGCATCACTGAAGAGTTTTGTGTGCCATGTTGGTTCTGAGCTGCACAGTGGTACCAGCCTCTGTGTTTCAGGTCGATCCTATCGAAGGTAAGAGTGTCTCCAGTCTGCAGCTGCTCCATCTGTCCTTCACTCTCTCTGGACCAGGTGTAGTTCACTGCTGGATTTGCATCACTGCTGCAGATCAGAGTCACTGAGCTGCCCTCCAACACAGAGCTGGAGGTATTCACTGAAGCTGATGTATTTTTAGGAGCATCTAAGAAGCAAAGATAAACGACTGATATAGGAAAACTAACTGGCTTACTGAGAAGGTTGAGCAGCTAATATTGCTGTCAGTTACTGTATACAGTGGCCTAATTATTTAGACATAATATATGAATGCATTTGCATTAGGTAACAAAATATCAAAACAAGTGGCTTTTATTTTAAGGTTGATGCTATTTGGTTTGATATTTTTGTTATTTAATGTGATAATACACAGACATGTTGTGTGGTTGAAGTGTCCAAACGTGTTCAAATATGTTTTGGGGTCACTGTGTATATATTTTCACCCTATTATTCATATAAAGAGACAGTTTCACCATTTACTGACTCTCATGACAATCCAAACTGTTTGCATGTTGTTCTTTTGTGGAATACAAAATAAGTTATTTTGAAAACTATTTCATTTGTTCATTCAATGTAAGTCGAATGGGTACAATGCTGCTTTGGACCCCCCTGACGCTATAGTGCTGATGCATCAACAGTCAGAAAAGTGCATTTGCAAAACTTACCGACTAGAATCCAGACTGGTCTGAAAGTCTGAAGCTACAATATATTGTAAAATCTAATTAGTCAGGCTTACTTAAAAAAAGCATGCAAACCAATTGCCTTAAAAAAAACTAAGTAAAGTGAAATAGGAATAGTATGTTTGTACTGACAAATGCTTAGTATAGTTCACTTACACGAGAGTTCTAGTAACTAAAAAAGAACTGTAGGGAGTACTTGATAATTTACTTTAGGTTTACTCTTGACTTAGTATAGCTACCCAGAATTACTAACTCCCAGAGTGCATTGCGGCATGAATAAATTATGCAATTGCTTTATTTTACTGTTTTTTTTTTTTTATTTGTCAATTTTATTTGCTGTCTTGTGTCAGTAGTAGCACAACAAAAAGAGCAAATAAAACGGCTATTGTTACAATTAATAAAATTAATTACATTTAATTGTTACCATTGTTGTGTTTTGCATGTTGAAGTCTGTGTGTGACTCAAGCATGGTCGATTGCAAGATATTGCCACAAATAATAAAGGATTATATCAATCCAATTAAAAGTTTCACAAGGTGTTTTTGAAAAACAGTAAAATTGTAAAAGATCATTAATCAACATGAAAAATACGCTAGCTAATGATTTAATTAGAAGTTAGGTCACATTCCAAAAGCAACCTATTTATTACTTCCCTTCCTTTGAAACCAAATAACTGTGATTTCATATTGCATTAATAGGAAGAGAATTATAGCAATATAAATGAAGTTCCAAGTGCCCAACCAAAGAGAGCACTAATCACTATAATGGTGAATTCAAACAAAAACATTTTTTTTAGGAAAATCAACATCAATTTATGAAGTCAGCTTATGTGATGTTCTCTCAAATTTTTCAGTTGTATTGACAATTCAACATTCAAGATGACTTTGGGAAACAAGTGAATGCAACTAGAGAAAGATAACAGCAGAAGTGGAGGAAATGAGTGAAAAGTCTATTAAGAATTGCCCCGCCACAAAAACTCTTTTTCTTCTTCTTCTTCATCTTCTTCTGTTGTTATGTTGCACATTAGGAACATATTAGTGCACTGCTGCCTCTCACTGGTGTATTAATGTCATTGTTTCCTTTGTGGCTACTTGATTCTTTTAAGTAAGCATCACTCAAAGCAGTACGTAAATTGTTTTATTTGCCTTGAAATTAACTGTAACTTAATAAAACCTAGTAAGTATAACAACTAAGTAAAGATAACTAATTATATCTAAGTAAGGGAAACTATTGGATTTTACAGTGTATATACTGAAAAATCAATGTCCCTGCATTTAAATAAAACGTTCAAACAGCAATGTGGTAAGTTTAACTGGACAAATTAAAGGCCTTTTAATTATTATTTGGCCTTAAACGTAATAAAGATCAACACTTTTATAGCTAGTAGCTATTATTGCATCACAACACAATAACAGTGTCATAACTGTTCATTTTATAATTTACTTTACGTTGGTAATGAATGTGACAAGGTAAGATTGGCTGTTATGTAATACTCACACTGAATGTTCAGCATCACTGAAGAGTTTTGTGTGCCATGTTGGTTCTGAGCTGTACAGTGGTACCAGCCTCTGTGTTTCAGGTCGATCCTATCGAAGGTAAGAGTGTCTCCAGTCTGCAGCTGCTCCATCTGTCCTTCACTCTCTCTGGACCAGGTGTAGTTCACTGCTGGATTTGCATCACTTCTGCAGATCAGAGTCACTGAACTGCCCTCCAACACAGAGCTGGAGGTATTCACTGAAGCTGATGTATTTTTAGGAGCATCTAAGAAGCAAAAATAAAAGATTGATATTGCAAAACTAACTGGCTTACTGAGAAGGTTGAGTAGCTAATATTGCTGTCAGTTACTGTATACAATGGCCTACTTATTTAGACATAATATATGAATGCATTTGCATTAGGTAACAAAATATCAAAACAAGTGGCATTTATTTTAAGGTAGATGCTATTTGGTTTGATATTTTTGTTATTTAATGTGATAATACCCAGACATGTTGTGTGGCTGAAGTGTCCAAACATGTTCAAATATGTTTTGGGGCCACTGTGTATATACATTTTCACCCTATTATTCATATAAAGAGACAGTTTCACCATTTACTGACTCTCATGACAATCCAAACCGTGTGCAACACAGAGCTGGAGGTAATCCCTGAAATTGAAATGTTTTAAGGGGCATCTGAGAAGAAAAGACAAAAGATTGATAGAGGAAGGAATAACTGTATGAATGAGGTACTGCAGCGGTGGCGAACTCCGGTCCTGGAGAGCCGCAGCCCTGCAGAGTACAGCTCCAACCCTAATTAAACACACCTGAACAAGCTAATCAAGGTCTGAAGGGTTACGAGGAAGCTACAGGAAGGTGGGTTTTAATTAGGGTTGGAGCTGTACTCTGCAGGGCTGCGGCTCTCCAGGACCGACGTTCGCCACCCCTGAGGTACTGTGTGAAATTTATGAAAAAGTATTGAGATGCAAGCTTCATTTAATGCATTTGCATGATGATATTTAGACATTATGTGTGGCTGAAGTGTCCAGAACTGTTCAAATATTTTGGGGCCACTGTGTATATATATAGGGTTCAAAAGTTTCTATATATATATACTTATGATCTCTGTTTTACTACTGGCTCTGTCTTCCTCACACTGGTTAGAAAAGCGTGATGGTAACTGTGAAAAAAATGTGTTTTTTTGTCACAGTTAAGATCACACTTTTCTAACCAGTGTGAGGAAGACAGAGCCAGTACTAAAACAGAGATCATAAGTAGGCCTACAGTGGCATGCGAAAGTTTGGGAACCCCTTGGAGAATCTTTGAAAATGTGAATAATTTTAACAAAATAAGAGAGATCATAAAAATGCATGTTATTTTTTATTTATTACGTCCTGAGTAAGATATTTTACATAAAAGATGAACCCTTCGTTCTTAATACTGTGTGTGGTTACCTGGATAGTCCACGACTGTATTTTTGTTTTGTGATGGTTGTTCATGAGTCCCTTGTTTGTTCTGAACAGTTAAACTGAGCACTGTTCTTCATAAAAATCCTCCAGGTCCTGCAGATTCTTCAGTTTTCCAGAATCTTTTGCATATTTGAACCCTTTCCAGCAGTGACTGATATATTGAGATCCATCTTTTCACACTGAGGACAATTTAGGGACTCAAACACAACTATGAAAAAAGTCCCTCAATTGAGTCCCTCAATTGTTCTCAGTGTGAAAAGATGGATCTCAAAATCATACAATTAAAATTATAATTTTGTTCAAATTATTCACAATTTCACAGATTCTGCAAGGGGTTCCCAAACTTTCGCATGCCACTGTATATATATATATAACAGATGTGTAACACTGGATAATTTTTCTCAATAAATAAATGACAAAGTATATATTTTTCCCTCATTTGTTTTATTGGGTTCTCTGTCTACTTTCAGGACAGGTGTGAAAATGAAAGAAATATATATATGTTTCTTAGGGGTGGAACGGTTCGCGGAAAAAAATCGAACCGTACGGTTCTCCACACATGGTTCGGCACACGCTAGGACCGCGGTTCAACTTAAATCTGACAACGCATCTGTAATATGGTTTGCTATAAATAACACATAAAACAAACAGGGTTCGGATGTGTTTTTAGGCGAATCTGAAGGGAAAAAATGGGTCTCACAATAAAAATCACAATAATATGATTGATATCCATAAAAATCACAATAATATGAAAACTAAAAAGCATCTCAAAGCCTCACTTACACTGAACATGTAATGTGATGCTGTCCTGTGCTGTTTTGTTCTCGTCCTGTAGCTGGTAGGTTATAGTGCAGGTGAAAGTGACTCTGTGCTGACGGTGAGTAGCAGTGAAGTTCAGATCAGAGATGAGCTCCTCTAGTCTGCTGCTCTCACTGAGGGGGATTCTGGGAGTGGAGCTCCATGTGAGAGTTGGTGGAGGAGAGGAGCAGAGAGTCTCAGCAGAGCAGCGCAGACTCACAGAGCTCCCCTCCAACACCTCCTCCTGATCCTGCACCTCCTTCTGCTCCACATACAGCTGCACTCTGGGTTTGGGGGGAGAGTCTGAAAAAGTAAAACGACAATGACGGCAACTTTTAAAACATTCATTTAACACATTTGTTTATAAATAATAGGCTCAAATCACTCACCAATCACATTTATAGTGGAGGTATTTACAG